GGGGGGGGGGGGGGGTGGTTCCCCTGCCGCTTGGACCCCCCGGCCAACTGGTATAGTTACTCACGCATATTCATATCTCTCAGGTTGGTAGCTATGAATAAACAATCAACAAACTACCGGGTTTCTGGATTAATTTGCAAGGTACTACATGTCTCAACTATTTTTTAATTAGGGGTTAATTAGTAAAAATCGTACACAAATCATACGACGTCACTGACAACGCCGTGGACGGCAACTCGATTTTGAGATTAATTTTCCGAATAAAGTTATACTAAATAACTCCTAATGACGAACTATTGTCTTCAGTTGTCTTTGTTGGTCATCCAATTGTCATTTTATCTATTTTATCGGTGATAATACCATTCTCAGTAATCTATAAAACACCCACATAACAACGTCACGTTAGATCGATCGGTGGGGACGCCGTGGTGACGCCGGTAGGGTCAATTTTCGTCGGAAGGTATCAAGATGATAAACAGTTTCATTGGACTAAATTCTTGCTTATGTTAACCATGCTTTCCTAAGATTATACTTCAAATGAAATAACTGACAAACTTTGGCCATCATCATACACATTATAATAGATTCAAGTAAGATGTTTCAAATGATATAAAAATGGATGCAAACATGCCTTTGGAACAGTTTTTGTTTTGTTTTGTTTTGTTTTTTGTTTTTGTTTTTGTTTTTTCGATTTTTATTCACCTTAACGTCGACTCCGTCTTAGAAAGCACCAGGATTAATCACACCAGAATTAATCACCACGCTGTTTTTGTGTTTTTCTTGAAATCTGTATGCCTGATCACCATCATCATACACAGTATAATAATAGATTCATTAATTATTGTCAATACGGTCCCTACTTTACCGCTTGAGTTCACGATGTACACATGACATGGGTCATATCATGTAAACATAATTATTTGTCCCGAATTATAATTTGTATTTTTAATGTATTACTAGAGATAGGTCCCTGCATTCAACAATTATGTGGATATTCCTTTTACTGTTATTTACTATCAACTATTGCCCCTGCGTCACTAATTTTTTAATTGATTTAATATGCTGAATCATTATTAATGGTATATACCTATTATATATTTCTATGAATTAATCAACAAATGTCTCATTAATCACATTATCGTGAATAGGCCTATTTAAGTACGAAGTATTATTAATTCTTTATTAAAGCATTATTTGAGCACCTTCATTATTATTATTAATATTATTATTATTTTATAAATATTATTTATCAACCATATTAACATTGAAAACATGAATTAGCCTATGTAGATAAAATTATCACAGAAAATAAACTTATAATTTATAAGATTATTTTTTAAAAGAGAATTAAATACAGTACGGTAGATAAAATTTTTATTTAAAAGCAGGTTTAGCATGGACGTAATTTTATTTAATATGTGATTATTATTATCTCATTAATCAAACTATCTTAAAATTATTATTATTATTATTATTATTATTATTATTAGGCCTATTATTATTATATTATTGTTATTATTATTATTATTATTTTTATTATTATTATTATTGTTTTATGTGTACATGACTATGTGCCTAGACCTAATATATAATGTATATATTTAATAATTTAATTAGAAATAATTATAATTATTAATTGTAAAACATATATAATATAATGTTAACAATAATATAGGCTAGGCTAGACCTAATGAACTATTGATACCATAATGTCATCTATCGATAAAAACATCGATGACAACAGCTTTTCGCACTGTGGCAGTGCCGATAGAAAACAACAACTTTTTCGCACTGCGGCAGTGCCGATAGAAAACAGCAGCTTTTTGGCACCGCGGCAGTGCCGATAGAAAACAGCAACTTTTTCATTCGCACTGCGGCAGTGCCGGTAGCCACTACCGTTTTTATTATGCCACTAAATTTAATATGCTTTAATGACAAAATAAATGATATGGTATGTGATAGATAAATGTCAAATAATTGACGCTATTCAAGCATTTAACATAATAATCTTCAAATAATTTCAAATTAGTGGGGAGGGGGGGGGGTGCATCAGCCGAATGTAGTACAATTGTTTATCAGTGTGATTAATCTGCTCAATAAACAATTTTAATTACTTGTGCAAATATAAAGATGTGGGTAACCCACATCTTTATATACGACTTTTCATGGATCTCGACCTGCTATGTAGGCCCTCTTTAGGCTAGACGCGCCTAGACGGTTGGAAGCGACGATCGAAGAAAAACGGTTAAGCAAGCCAAGGACTTTGCTAACTTCCATTACTCAGTATTAAACTCCTTCCATTGATGGGCACTGTCTAAAACTTCCTTCCAGCTTATCTCTGAAAAAATTGTAACCTTTTCGTCTGCAGTTGGCTCAACATGAATTACACAGGAGCCAGTAAGCTTCCATGACGGCCTAGGCTCGGACATGACACGTTGTTGTTATTTCGCGACGTCATCAACGAGTACAATACATTCATTATCCACCATCAACTAAACTGCCTTAAAGAAAAAAGGAATTGGTTCGTGTAAGAATCCAACACACAACCTCCATGTTTGCTATTTATTATCCACCATCAACTAAACTGCCTTAAAAAAAAAAATTTTAAACTGGCTCGTGTGGGAATCGAACCCACGACCTTAAAAAAAATAAAAAAATAAAAATAAATAAAAAAATTTAAAAAAATACTTGCCCGTGTGGGAATCGAACCCACGATCGCTGAGTTTACCACCCCTGATCCGAGCATGACTAAACGGAGGGAGGTAAACCGCGGCCCCTAATCCATAAATGCGATAAACCTATGGAAGCTACGGATATTTTACGGAGTTTGGTGAATTTTATAAGTTATTTTATAGGCATCAAGCTACTGTAATATGATTACATATTTGTTGTAATATCCAGTGGCGGATCCAGGAATTCTAAATACAAGGGCCCAGGGAGGGTACTTTCACAGACAGAAGATCTATACTACCTCAGCCCCACCATGGTTGGGGCTCAGGTAAGAAAATGGCCGGAAATTGTACTTCCAGATATAACGACTGGGTACTTCAGCAGATGGAGAATATATACCACCTCAGTCCCACCATGGTTGGGGCTGAGGTAAGAACATTTGTGATTATGGAACCTCTAGATGGCCGGAAATTACACTCTCAGACTTCAATTTGAATATATTTTTCCTTATATGTCCATTAAAGAAAAAAATGAACATTTTAGCCTCCCACCCCCTCCTTTGAACGCGCCACAGATTTCCGAACAAAGTCGAAGTCGAGATTGCTTCCACGACCTCGATGAATTATTTATATGGGTTCCCTGACGAAAACTTCACTTTTCTCCCGATAGATGAAAATTACCCTTCTATGTAGCCCGGAAATGATACTCCAACTGTGCCGGGTCCAGGAAGTCGAAATAAAGGGGTTCCAGTGAGGGTCTTGCGTAAATAGAATGTCCACCCGCCTCAGCCGGACAACTATTGGAGCTGAGGTAAGAAAAAAATATGATTATGGCACCTCTAGATGGCCCTAGATGGCAATCTCAGATTAAAAGTTGAATACAATTTTGTCTGTTTTCTCCAATTTTGTTTAAATAATTTTGAAAAACAAATAGGAAAATGGAGTCCCGCCTGAATGGGTTCCCCATTGAATCTGCCACTGTTCAATATAACACTTGACATAGCCTATCAGTGACAAATGATTAATTCCTAATGTCAAGCGAAAGATTTTTTTATTCCAAAGAATTTGTTTTTACTCAATAAAGTGGTTATATTACGCTAGTTTGAAGGTTTACTGTAAGCCAGTCAGTTACACTTACTATACATCTTCGTGGTTAGCATAAAGAGAACTAGAACGTCGCTCCATTAAGAGTGCCTACCTCCCCTCCCCCCCCTAAATACAGAGTTCACGAAGGCAGGCAAGTACATTCTTTTTTTCTCATTATGCTCGATGGTGGGTTTCAAGGAAACTTTATAGGCGCACGTATACAGACGTCAATCAACATTTGGTTAAAAAATAAAAAATCTATATTTTATAATAATAATAGGTCAATTTATAAGGCGCAAATAAATAAGGTGTAAGCACGAAATAATAATAATAATAATAATAATAATAATAATAATAATAATAATAATAGGCCTAATAATAGGCCTAATAATAATAATAATAATAATGACATTGCAACGTTCGTAAAATGTTTGTGACTGGTGCTGGAAACAGTCAAAAAGTGGGGAGGCCAGGCCCCCTTTAGAAAAAGTTGGTGGGCCAATGGTCCCCCTGGCCCCCCGCATCCGCCGCCGTTGACCGTTGGGCCGACGTTTCTTAGAGGTTGTAAATATCATGTATGATTATAGACGTTGTTGCAACATCACAGTACTCTGTTGGCCAGACGTCGGTAAACGTTTGAAATTTACAACTTCTAACCAACGTCGGCCCAACTGTTGTCACCAACCTCCACTAACGTTTACCGACGTCGGGCCAACAAAGTACTGTGACGTTGGGACAACGTCTATAATTACATCCTAATATTTACAACCTCTAACCAACGTCGGACCAACGGTTGTAACCAACCTCCATTCCAAACGTATACCGACGTCGGGCCAACAGCGTTCTGTGACGTTGAGACAAGGTCTGTAATCACATTTAATATTTACAACCTCTGGCTAACGTCGGCCCAACAACGGTGGTAACCAACGTCTATATCAAAACGTTTACCGACGTCGGGTCAACATAGTACTATGACTTTGCGACAACGTCTTTAATTACATCTAATATTTACAACCTCTAACCAACGTCGGCCCAACGGTTGTAACCAACCTTCACTAACGTTTACCGACGTCGGGCCAACAAAGTACTCTGACGTTGCGACAACGTCTGTTATAACATCCTAATATTTACAGCCTCTAACCAACGTCGGGCCAACGGTTTTAACCAACCACCATTTCAAACGTTTACCGACGTCGGGCCAACAACGTACTGTGACGTTGAGACAACGTCTACAATCACATCTAATATTTACAACATCTAGCCAACGTTGGGCCAACGGTAGTACCAACCATCTTTTTAGTAGTTTGCCGACGTCGGGCCAGTAACAAATCGTGACGTTGTACCAACGTCCGTAGTCAGACTGAATATTTACGACGGCTTACCAACGTTGGGACGACATCGGAAAATCGACAAAATATATTCATACGTTGGGCCAACGTGAAATTCCAATGTTGGTTTGACCTTACCTCTCCGACCAAATTTTGCAACCAAACACCAACGTCGTACCAACGTCAGATATCCGACCCCGACGCTTACCGACGCTTGCCAAACGTCGCTTTGCTAGCTGGGGGGGGGGCACTAATAAGATAAATGTGAATATGAATCAGGGGGATCTGGGCTCAGATTTAGGAGAAGTCAAAATATTTCACAAAAACCCAGAAAAGGAAGGGTCCGGGGGCCATAAAATTATAATTTTTGGAGGTGGGAACATTGTCGATATTTTCATACGCAGCAGGATCGGAACAACGACCACACTCAGACAATTTCTGTCAAAGACAGAGTCTAGGTTTCTTTACTCCAGGACTATCACATATAAAAATCTTTGCGTTAATTCGCCATCATTACCACTTCGACCCATACAATGTGCGATGAATGGCCCCAAAATTCGACAGATACTGTTTCGTAGTGCGAAAGTGACCAAACGTCATGACGTTTGATGATGAACTACATAACATAACACACCATAACACTTTTTACGTACCCAATGCAAATATCTATTTATTTTTCCTCTTTCAAACATTTCATCCTTAACATAGTAGCATGTAGAGTATATAATGCATGCATATTGTTTTGCTATTTATGTAATCATATTTGTAAACTGGGGCCATTATACTAATAATACAACAATTAGTTTACAATCCTAAAATAATCAAATGCTCATTAAAAGTATCAAATAACTTCCCGACGTCAAATAAAACACATAACCCAATGTTACGTACCCAATGCAAATATCTATTTATTTTTCCTCTTTCAAACATTTCATTTCATTTTTTTTATATGTATACAGTAATCATATTTGTAAACTTGGGCCATTATACTAATAATACAACAATTAGTGGACAACCCTAAAATAATCAAATGCTCATTAAAAGTATCAAATAACTTCCCGACTTAAAATAAAACACATACCCAATGCAAATATCTATTTATTTTTCCTCTTTCAAACATTTCATCCTTAACATAGTAGCATGTAGAGTATATAATGCATGCATATTGTTTTGCTATTTAGGCCTATATATATACAGTAATCAATTAGTGGACGACCCCAAAATAATCAAATGCTCATTAAAAGTATCAAATAACTTCTCGACTTCAAATAAAACATATATTTTAACAAGTTTTTGCTGATTTACAATAGGAAACTTCTGCCAGCCAATTTAGAAAGTAACCTACGCACGAAATATTGAACCTCTACTTACAGGAATTTTCGGTGTTTCTTGGTTTGATTGATTGATTAACCATATTTATGCGTCTGCCAATTGGTGAGGAAATAGTATTGCTTATGACGCTGCACATGTAAACAAAACAGTATAGGTGTAATAAGCTACAGTTTAAGCTCCACCATGAGTTTTATTCCAGTTTATATAAAGCTTTTGAAACAAAGAAGGCAGAAAGAGGCCTATCAATTTGAAGATGTAAGAGAAAAAAAGAGGTTGCAGTTTCGAGACCCACCACTACTTTTTCATAACTGATAAGAAACCTTTTGTTGCGATTTATGCTTTGTTTCAATATTAGAGTACAGTTTCTATTCACCTATAATGTGTATGTTCCCGTACTGTGTAAAGCAGAAGATGTCTTTTTACTGAGCTTTTATAGCTGGAACATTAAATATTTCCTTCTTTGTAAGCCAAAATGCATTATGTCTTTCGTAAAATGCACCTTCGTTGATAAATACTGGATACACTGTTTCCTGACCATCATAGTAGATTGTCTTGCCATTGAAAGTAAGGAAAATCGGATCGCCAGTTTTAAGGGCTTCCCAGTCTCTGTCCTATTAGAAAAAAAAGTTCAAATGCACAAATAACTTTAATGGTACGTGGTGTGTTAATAACAATAAAAATAATCGTAAATATAATCGTGATCATGACCATGATCATGATCATGATATCAGGCCCGTAGCGTGACTTAATTTGTGGGAGGTTCGTTTCATTGGAAAGTGGACCCTTTGGCTTGTATGATCTCGGGCGTTCCAAAAAATATGACAAGTTATGGGTTTCAAAGGCTTATTTAATCGATTTTAGAGTCTACTAATAATGTAGAAAATACATATACATTTTATTTCTCCCCGACGAATTGTGGCTTTTCTCCCGACGGGGAGGGGTCGAAGCTCTCCCCGACGGGGGAGGGACCGAAGTTCTTCCCGACGGGGGAACTCACCCCGGCCCCCGCTGGCGCCACCCCTGCCCTCAATGTCAAGGTATATGCAGAACACCACACACACAATGCAGACCTATGATTATGACAGGACCAGCATCTCTGATAAGGTTAGACAGAGAAGACTGACATGCTGGCCACTACTTCAGGAGAAAAAAGGAACTTGTTTCTCAACTTTTGCTATGTGGACACCTTCACATGAAGCAGAGGACAACAAGCAAAACACTCAAATAAATGTGCTTGAGAGGATACGGGACAAGAGGTTGAAGAACTAGGGAAAGATTTGTCAGATAGAAAGTACGGTACTGGGCCATTATATCACGAGGAACCACAAGGACCCGGCTAACATGTAGGCCTTTTTTGAGTTTCTGGAATATTTTCGATGGTGCTGGTAAGTTTGTGAAGTATTGTAGTTGTTGCTGGCGTTTCTGTAATGTTGTCTGCATGTGTTTCTTGAGTAATGTAGATGTTGATGGTGAGTTTCTGAAGTCTTGTGGTTGTTGCTGGCAGTTAAGTTTCTGGTGTTATCCGATGTTGCATTTGTTTGTAGAGTTGTCGATGGTGTCTCTGACGTATTGTCAGTATTGATGGAGAGTTCCTGGAATTTTGTCAATGTTTTAATCTTTTATAATCACATCAATAACATTTAAAATGTATACCTGCAACTGTGGGTGAATCATTGCTGTCATATTGCCATCAGAATCCCGTGGGAAATCAATCTTCTCCATGATGATGTGCACATCTGTTTGAAATGAATCTGACATGGCACCTAGGTTTATTAAAAGTGAATAATGGTAACTTAAGAGCAATGTTGGTGTGTACCACTATACTACTTAACAATATAAATGATGATATTGATAACAATTTAAACTATACTTTCCTACACTACTAAGTAAACCTCAGACACACCCCAAGGTTAAACTTGTTACTATAAATATGTTGCACTTATGGTGCAGATTTTCTACAGCCGCGCCCACACCAAAAAGAAATTTAAATAGTCCGATAGGCTACTAGGAATCAAATTATAGTAATATAAGCAGTGGCGTCACGCTCGGGTGCTGACGGGGAGCAGAGCGCCAGGGCCCACAGGCATGAGAGGCCTTGACATAATAATAATATAAACTATAATACCATAGTTTCATTCAATTTTAAACAATAAAAGCTGGGTTCTGATGTTTGATATTTATTTCTGATTTTGTGCTCAATCGGCTTTTCATTGTATATACGTTATGAAAACATGTTTTGTTTCTCACTAAATTATTCTCTGTATTTATTTGCACCTACATAGAGTACATAGGCCTACTGTAGGCTTATACCAGTTACAAAAGTTGGTGTATTCTATGTTGGTTTTGTCATAAAATTGTCTGAAATATTTCATTAGACATGGACCATTCTATGTTCTCTGTTAACTCAGTTAACAGTTCATAAATGACATAAGCTCTGAGCGCAAAGACCAGAGTACCTACCAACATAAATATACACTAAGTTGTGCATGTCCAGGACTACATCTGTCTCTTATACACATCGAGATGGGTATAAGAGACAGGCCTACATGTAAGAAGCACCTGCGCATGTACGAAGAGCACGTTTTTGCAGTTTAAAAAAGACAATGAGCTGTGTGAGATGTCGTCTCGTGCTCTAACAAGAGCTTTTGCTATTTTTATGGTATTGAATTTATTTGCAATAGGCCTAATTCTTATTTGCAAGTTTAAGATAGGTCTGTGATTTAAGTCCAACATCTTGTGGTTAATGGTAGTAGTGGAAGTGGGGGTCCCTGCAAACCTGGGCTCACGTGATTATAGATGACCTGCGTACAAAAGGGTTGAAAAAAGAGCTTGCGCAGAATCGCGGAATGAAAAGCTGCCAATACAAGAAGTACAGTCCAACCCATGCTTGCATGGAATAATAATGGACTCTGAATTGATGATTATGATGATGGCGATTAATTTGTTTGATTTAATGTATTGTATTTTATATATAATTTATTTCGAGTGTCAATAGACCGTGAGTGACTTGTAAATTTTGCGTAGATTACGGCGACAGCGCACAGATATTTTTTCTTATGGAGCGTTTAATTTACAAAAGACCAAATTGTCACTATACCAAATTTGGTATGGTATGGAGCAACTCCTCTACTAGTGCTAATTAAAGTAATAATTGAGAAAATACAAAAATGTATCGCTTTATCGGGATTTGAACCCAACACCTTCTCATTACCTTTCAGATACTCAACTAACTGAGCTATGAGGCCAAGGTGGATACACCCTTTGATTTTCCCATTAGGACACGTTTTCTCTATATACAAACCTGAGTTGAATGCGTCCAAAAAGTCCATAGAATTAATGACAAGTTCTTGCATTCTTTGATAATTTTCAGCCAGTAAGACACCATGAGGTTGTGGGCCTAGTTCCAGAGCTAAATGAATAAATCAAGAGAATAATTATTGTTTCACCATTATCCTTAACCACAAAGTAACATATTGCATTCGATAATGGTCGTTTGTGAAGTGATTTGTCATGTGTCAGGAATGAAAGAAAAAGGTATCCATGGTAAAAGGTAAAAATAGGAGCAATTTTCGAGCGGATCAGTTTGAGCATATTCTCTAACAATTAGTTCAGACTGACAGCAATTAAAAAAAAAGACAATTCCAATGGAAATTTATCCAACCACATCTGCATGTACCAATATTATTCCAATCGGTAGTAGTAGTAGTAAAACTTTATTTATTCACGAAGCACAAATCAACAAATAGGCTACAATGTTGTCTTTCATTATGGCTACGAGATACCTTATTTACAATTAACATAAATTACACATTAGGCCCTACAGTACATCATAAAAAAGCAAAATTTAAACAGAAATTAAATAATACAGATGCAAAACATAATTATTATACAGTACAGTAAAAGTCGTGTGGGCTATCTAGACATGTGGCAGTCAGTGGCGTATCTGAAAGTCTTGCAAATGGGCAGCTGATAGGAGAAGGAATGAAGGTAAAGTTGGGGCTCGATGATTAAGATAGGGGTAGGCCTACTAGCTCGCAAAATTAGGTGTTAACTACTTGAAGGTAATTGTATTGCTTCGAACACTTGCATTGGTGGAAGAACGACAGGAGAAGGGCGAATAGGGGAACAGCGACCAGGGGAGAGCTTCTTTTGGCGGGGGAGGTGGCGTGCACACCTCTAGATACGCCTCAGTGACAGTAGGTAAATAGGAAGGTGGATTGGGAAATAGGTATGAATGGATGGATAGATGGATTATGTATAAATAGTGGGACAGCTAGACGAAGGGAGATGGAAAATATATCAAAGTTAACAAAATGTAATGACTTACTAATACCATTTGGTGCAAGATGTCTACTAAAGCTGTGTACAGCTTTTGGGTTACATAGTATATGTGCAGGAGCTTTATGAATAGCTTTCTTTACCATGTAGTTAATCATATGCAAGGCGAGAACTTGTTGCTTGTCCTGAATTATAAAACAGTTTCCCATGTTTGCTGATGTGTTGTGCATGTCCAGGACTACATCGGGACTGCCGAAGTCTTTCGATAAAGCAGTGGCCACCTCCCTTGCTCTCTGCACTTCATGACTTACATCAGTATTTTTACCCCTGAAAAACAATATTTGTATATTATGGAATTAACATGATTTCATTTGATGTTATGGTTCTCGATTCAATCCTAATGTAACACAAACGAAATGCTCTGAACAAAGTTTCAAAAGGGACTTCGCAATTGGTCGGCTCTTTCATCTCAAATCAGCAGCGGCGTCAGATTTTGCCCGACAAGTGGTTATCGTTCCCAGACGGATAGGAAACACCCACATCAGCCTCACCCCATGGTTAGGGCTGAGGTTTAAAAAATTAAAGTTATGTCATCTCTAGATGCCCGAAAATCGCAATCTCAAGCCAGCTGTGGCTTAGAACATAAATCTAATTATTTGCCGGCTGCGGCCGGTTTCTCCGCTGTTTGAAAGATTCACCCACCCTGTTTCAAAGCTTCACAAGAGACTATGTTACAGAGCAGACATGATCAGCTCTTCTACCTGCCAGTCTAGTTGATGATAGAGAACGCCAAATGGTCAGCTCTTCAACCCCATCAAGCATGAAAAGAGACTCAAAGGTCCACAGATAAGATAGTATAATACATACTCCAAGTATCGAAATGCACGCCATCGTGTCGGGATTCAATATTTATGTAGGCCTATGTATGTATATATGGTTATAGAACAAAAATGATTTCAAATAATCAGCTCTCCACCACTTCACCTCATGGAGATTACTTTATAGGCCTATATAAAAATTGTCGTACCTCAAATTCTCTTTAGAAAAGTGAAAAATTAGGTCCTCATCTATGTATCTAGTGCACTTCTCAACAGCCTTAGGATTTCCCATCAAAACCGTAGTTTTAAATGAGCTCCTTGTGATGTCAGTAGGATCCTTCATAAATTTTTGAGCAACAAATACACTAGACATCTCATTGCCATGAACACCTCCTAGTAGAGCAACACGTTGTACAGGCTTTAGGGTTGCCATTGTAATTGTCCCAGTAGTTCTGGAAAAAAACCCCAAAAGGATTACTGTATACAGTAGGTCTAGAGCATGACATGGGTGGCGCCAGGATTTGCCCTACAGGGAGTTCAATGCCTCCGACAGGAGTGGGGGTGAGGGTACGTGTTGGTAATGTAAACCGACTAGAGCGTATGGGCGTGGTCGGGCGTCGCTCAAAATCTTTTGGAAATGGTCCAGGGAGCAAAGTCCCTGAAACTACAATTTAGGGGGGTCCAAGATTGATTTAAGTGATTTTTGAGTCTACAAAATGTCAAAAATTGATTTGATTGGCCGAGCGCTTAAGTCAGGGGCACCGTAACCTTCAGCTGAAATATCGCCGCAGGTTCAAAAGGCTCACTCGATGGTTCCGGTGATGGAATAAGGACTTTAAACTTAAAAATGCACCTTATTATTTTTGGAAATTATGAAAATGGCTTTAAACAATAGCCTTATCAGAAAGAATTGAAAAAAGTACGGTACTAATCTTCCAATGGCTCTTTTATTTTAAACAAATAAACAACCCTCATTCATAGGCCTTGGTGTTATTAAGGTGGCCCATAAGTGTCACGGCAACAACTTTCGAAATGTCACGGCCACATTTTCGAAATTCACGGCAACAACTTTCGAAACCACACGGCACACTTTAAAAAGTCACTGCACACTTTATAAACCCACGTCAAACTTTGCCATGGCATAGGCCTAGAAAGGGGTGACGGAAAGTTAATAATAATTAATGATATTAACTTTTCCCATGTCTGTATTGTAATTGCATAAAAGTTATTTATTAAATAATAATTCAGTACAATTCAGTAGCCAGGCATAGAGACAAGGGGCCTAGGCCAGGGTCATATTCTGCATAGGCCTAGCTTAACGTGAAAGAGAATGATCGCCTAGACTACTATACTATACAGTCGTGTGACTGGGTGGCTGGACTGGGCAATGTAGGTCTCCTAGTCCGACCTATGTAGCCCAGGCTGAAGTGGTTGTATTTTAGCAACTCACATGTACTTTCCACGGCGGAAGTTGTGATTTTGAAAGTTTGACGTGACATTTCAAAAGTTGTGCTGTGAATTTTGAAAGTGTGCCGTGGGTTTATAAAGTGTGCAGTGAATTTTGAAAGTGTGCCGTGGTTTTTAAAAGTGTGCGGTGAATTTTGAAAGTATGCCGTGACTTTTTAAAGTGTGCCATGTGGTTGCCGTGAATTTCGAAAATGTGGCCGTGACATTTCAAAAGTTGTTGCCGTGACACTTATGGGCAACCGTATTAAGGCCATTATCTGCAGCCTATTATTTCAATTCTTGATAGAAAATAATTAAAAATTCCATATCATTCTAAAATATCAAACAAATATATAGGCCTATAGATTATATTATACATCAAACCGAAGAATCAAAAATATTAATAATTACAAGGCGTATCAGCTTATTAATGAGACAGGCCTATCACAAAAATTAATAAAATAATTTCCTATTTTGATTTGTATTTTTTAAAGAAAAGAAAGGATAGGGAGAGAGAGAAAATGATGAAATGATGAAATGACGGATATTGAATTTAACATGTACTTACCTACTTGAGGCCCAGGTATCAGTGGTGGATTCAAGAGAACCCTAAATTTGTCAAAATTATACCAAAAAAAAGGAAGAAAAAATATAATTTATAATCAAATTTAAGTCTGGGAGTGCCGTATCCGGCAATCACAGTGCCATAGGCCTAATCATGAATTTTCTTCGCTCAGCTCCAAAGTATGGTGGTGTTGAGGTGGGTGGACCTCTACCTGTGAAGTCACTCCCTGGGCCCCCGCTATTTTGAATCCATGGATTCGCCACTGGGTACCTGTAGAAATACCTATCATAGTAAGGAATTAGATACTGGCTATGTAACTTACGTGTTAGAATAATCTGTAACAACACACAGCACAAATATCGATATCCTACATTCGTTTTCCTAAACGTAAGAACTGCAACAACAATTTGTCCGACCCCTGTTTAAATAGCCCCATCCAGGTCATTTATTATTTTCAAAACCCTTAAATTAGTTGATAATAAACTTAAGAACTTCCGTAATAAAATTATATCAGCAGCTTGCAACTAATACATAGGCCTATTAACCAATCAATCAATCAATCAATCAAATCTACGGCCTTATTACAATTACATTAAATTGCATTACTAATTTGATATCGCGCCCTTAAGAATGAAGACATTATTATTACATTACTAATTTGATATCGCCATCTTAGAATGAAAACATTATCAAAGGCGCTGTATATCGAAATTTGAAATAGAGTCAAAAGGAAAGCTATAAGAAAGTCAGTCCGAATTGACGCTGGAAGATTGTTACATTATAATATAACCGCGTGACTCCTGTCAGCAAAGGTTCCCCTGGTTGTTATGGGACTTGCAAGAATCAAGGCCCGATCGCATGCCAGATCTTCTTGGAACTAACAACTAACAACAACAACGTTAGTTCATGAAGTTATTCAGGAGCGTGTCCACTCAAACACTAATTTGTCGATCCTAGGTCGATCCATAACAATAGGCTACTTGGATAAAATGGCTTAGGCCTACACATCCTCTTGGTCTTGGCGATGATCTATACAGAATTCCAAGTATTAGGCCTATATCTAGCCTTTTTATTAGGCCTATTTAATAAAGCATTTCCTGTCAATGGCTAGATTTCCTAGTCAATGACTGCCAATAACTGATAGGGCCTATATTTTTCGAATAAACCCCTCGGG